AAATGCAACATACACAGTAGTGCAGCAGTAATATTAATGCAAAACAATCCTAACAAATTCTTTTTTCAGAACAATACTGTATACCTTTAATCTACTTAAGGTATAGAGAGTAAAAGTAGAACAGTGCTGCTGGATCTTCTGAGAAGTGAACGGCAACACGGATGGGTGCCACAATCCAGACCCTGGTGTTTCTCTTCTGTCTGCTAGTGGTACATCATACAGACCCTTACCAAAAAGTAGTATACTTGAAGTTTATTTTATTAAGTATACTTTATGTAGCAAGTATACAAATATCAGTGTACTAGTAGTATACTTGTAAGTATACTATTTCAATACTCCTTGGGACTAAATTGGCCCACTTTCTAGTATATAAAAGTATACTTTAAGTATAACAGTAGTAAACTTTAAGTACACAACTAGTTTACAACAATATTTTTAGCTTGTACTGCAACTATACTAAAAGTGCACTTATAGGTATACTGATAGTTTACAAATTAAATACTTGTAGTAGCATTTTTAGTACACTTTGAAGTATAGTCTCAGTAAACTACTAGTTTCTCTTCATTGGTCGACATTACATCAACTTTACACAGTTTTGATGCTGTTTTATGTCTGATGATCGTGTTAGATTACATGTGGAAGCATCTGTTGTTTCGGTTTCTTCTTTACTTGTGTTTTTGGAAATTCTGTACAGAAAATGTTTACTAGCGTCCCCTACCGTATAACAATGAAAACACGGATTCCAGGAACACAAGTATAGCTCAAATATATTTAGACTTTTTCTAAGTAGGCTATAAGTGAAGTATACTTAAATGTCATTTTAAGTATATTTCTGAGAAGTACATAAAGCCCATTTCTGAGAAGTACATAAAAAGTAGACTAAAAGTATACTTTCCTATTTTTTAGTTTAAAAGAAGTATACTAATAGCACACTTGAATGAACTTCTTTTTCGTAAGGGGAGCGGTCTCCAGAGTGTTTGACATGCCCCGTTCCACTGTCACCGCATTGTCCTCTGAGTCTCTGAGGAGGTGCTGGCCATTCACCAAGAGATTCACCTCCTGAAGACCCCAGAACACACGGAGGCAGGGCTGGGCTCAGAACTGATGTTGTTTTTCTGATGTTAAACCTAAGCTATGTTGTAAATGGTTGTAAAAAAGTACTTTCAGTAATGTATAGAACAATTTGTTTTAATGTGTAAAAAAAAATTACAAGACAAAAAAAATAAACGTATAGAAGAATGTTTTGTGAAAAAATTATAAGCTGCATTAAAAAAAACAATGTACATAATTACTTCTCTTTTATTTACACATGTGAATATGCAAAACAAAATTTACAGAAAGTATTCAGGCTCATTAACAAATAAATTACACTACAAAACTGAATAATGTATACAACTTATTCATTTTTTTGAACTTGCATCACAAAAATATTTAAAAAAATAAACTACAGAAATTAGGTTGTTTCATTGTCAATGTGACATTTAAAAAAATACGATATTGAAAAACTGTAATGTACCCATTTTTTCCACTGTTTTATATTGCTTAACAGAGACTGGCTAATAAATATATTTAAGCATTCTCTCAAGAAGAGAAAAAAGTATCTCCATTCTCTCCTGTGCTCTTCTCTCCTCTCTTCTCTCCTATGTCTCTCTCTCCTGTGCTCTTCTCTCCTCTGCCCTCTCTGGAGTTTGATGTCCTCCCTGAGCAGCTCCACCAGCTTCCACTCACTCCCTCACCTGTCCCAGGACACTAGCAATCCTAAGGCAGAGCAAATAAAGCATGCCTGTTAACAACAACAACAACAGCACAATGAATTTCAGCAAAAATGTGTGTATTAACTTGCTTGCATTGTATTTTTTAAGTCTTTCCCCAGCAGGCTCATTTTCTCCAGAATAGTACTAAAACAAGAGAAAATATAAAGACCGGTTTGCATTGCAATCTTAACAGTAGAAAATACGACACAGCAGGACATGCATACAAAATACTGAAGTGCTAAAGTTTGGTTAAAACATTTGTAGACATATCTTGCATGACAGCACTACAAAAACACAACAAAGGGAAAGACTATTGCCTTATATAGTGGTTGTCTTATTGTTTGTGGGCTTTAACACTTGTTTCGCTAGCTATTTGAGTAAATGAAAACACAATACTTACATTTCAATGTGAATTCCCCCACAGAACTGTCATCCTCCATGTTCTTTGAATATATATTCCATCGTCATCTGCGTGCAAGTGATTCTGGGATATGGTAGGGTGTGAAGTGTCCATCAGATGTACACTTCATTTTGCTGGGAAACGGAGGGTGCATTTGACGTCGCTTTCGAATTACGTCAGCCTTCGTTGCGCCGCGGTGACGCAATCGGCCTTGGAATGCAGCCTTCGGAGGGTGAATTCTGACCCTGCATTCCATTCGGAAGGGCTCATCCCTATGCCCTAATCCCTTCAAAGGGTTTACCCTCCGGAGTGAGAGCTTCGAAGGGTTGAAGGGTGTAGGGGCCCAAACAACTTTCTTGAAGTGCCCTTCTGCGTCATCATCACATGCCCACACGGAGGCACTGTCATCATGCAAAGAATCTGCGCAAATTAGTTCATCGTACCCTTCGAAATCCTTCATTCCGAATGGCCCTTTGAAGTGGCCAGTTTTGAGCACTTCGGTTTGGAACGACCCTTCAATATGGTGGCCATGATTATATGTTTTCACTCCGAAGTGCCCTTCGGAGGGCGATATATCCCGTTTGAAACGCACCGTGAATTGGGACAGCATACGCCGTGACGCTGTGACGCAATCGCACTTCAAATGCGCACTTCGGAGTCCGCACACTTCAGATTGGGACAGCCTTCGTCGCGCCGCTGTGACGCAATCGCACTTCAAATGAGCCCACCGGCGTCCACGCACTTCAGTTTGGGACACAGCTTTTGACTTTTAAAACACTTTAATTTACAAACATTAAAAAAAAAAACATTACACATTACCAATTAAAGACAAGGTTCCCCGATTCATTTACAGTCACCAATGCCCCTCCAAAAAATCATCTCCATTCAAAATAAGGAATGCTATATATTCAATAAGTACTCAAGACTCCACTAAAGACTTGAATAGGGTCACCATAGCCTACTTCTATTCTCACCAGCATTTTTGCACTGATGAGACTTAAACATTGATCGCTAAGCTGAGTTTAAAACATTCACAAAACAATTACATTACAAAAAGGACAATTTGGTAAAACAATGTCATTACGTTTTGAAATAAGAGTTTGAGGCTACAATACAATTCATTCATTACATTTATATAGCGCTTTTCTAGGCACTCAAAGCGCTTTACATTGTCAGGGGGTATCTCCTCATCCACCACCAGTGTGCAGCATCCACCTGGATGATGCGACGGCAATGCAATAATCTCCACTGAAGATCCCCACATTTCTTAGAGATAGGTGGTTTGTACAGTAATCTCCAGGATGGACATATCTCATCTGAAATAGAAAGCCAAGACCTCCATTTAGTGTCTGGTCTTTGCTTCAATTGTCCAAGATTTAACACAAATATGATATTACATTTTTTCTCAATACAACAAAAAAACGAATTTGTCAGACTTGCAATATCAACAAATTCCTAGACTTAAGAACAACCTTAAAAATAAATGTCTGAGGAAAAAAAAGCCTTTCAGTATAGAACATTTGTAATAAAAGAAATCAATTTTGGAGAAAAAGAGGCCTTAAGATTCCTGACTAATCCCTCCACAATTCTAACTGTTAGAGTTAGCCCAACTTCTTCAGCAAGCGCATGTGCAGTTCACCACTGGCCTTTTGTTAAATCAATCAAGTCCATAATTTTAGTGATCCCAGCATTGAAAAAATTAATGATTTAAGAAGATGATACATTAGATGGCATTCCAAAAAGGGGATTAAAAGGGGGTTCTGCAATACCATAATTCTCATCTTCTTATTTTAACTTAAAACAATCCCGTAATTATGATCACTAATACATAAAAAAATTAAAGGTAAGCAATGCATCATCTCTACAAATGACTTCTGCCTTAAAAACAAATGCTTCTTAAGACCAATTCCTCCAAGTTTCTTTAGTATAAAAAGACCAAACATTTTATTGTGAAATCGTCTCGGTCGAAGCAGGGCGCTGCAGTTAAATTTTTCACCACAGATTTACATTGGAACATTGTGGGGCGCTGTAGAGCTGAGAAGATCGTCTACCTCGCTTAGTATCATAATACTGTACATGACTGACGAAGCCATAGGAAGCCGAAATGTGCATGTTTTGTAAGTGACAATATATCCTAAATATCAACCTAATAAATCAACAACCAAAAGTAAAGTTTACATATTTGTTACATATCATTTTCAATTCATTACCACATCAAGCAGAAATCAGGAAATAGTCAGGAGACGTGAATACTGGCTGTAGATGAGTTTATTTGAGCTGATCTTCTGCTATCATGTGTTTATGTCATGGTTTTGATCTTTCCTGTTTGGATCAAACACAATATATTTTATACCCAACCTTTACTTTTGCTTTTCAATTACTAACCAGATTTCATTCTGCTGAGAAACAAAGAATATTTTTCTCAAGAGCTGCTGCTCTCTTAATCACAGTTAACCAGTCATTTCTAATATATGATTAGTGCAAAACAAAGAGATGTAACCACACCAGATATACAGAGAGATTCTTAAAACACACACATATATCATGCTAGTGTTTTAAACAATTACAGAACATTAAACATTGATGTTAGAAAATTTTGATAATATCATATGTCATTATAATTCTTTTGAGACTTAAGCAAGACTTTTGGACACTTTTAAAAACCAATAATCAGATTCACTCAGAAGCTATCAAAGAAAAAAAAAATAATATATGAGTAAATCAGAAAAATAATGAAATGTGAAAACAGTGAACAAGAAAACACACAAACAATTCACATATCCTTCACTCTTAATATCTGCTGCAGATGAAGTTGAGTTTGTGAGTTTCAGGAAGGCTGATCCAGCGCTGATCTCCTCCAGACTGAACTGCTCCTTTTCTCTTCTCGAGTTTACAGTTTTCTGGTTTAGTTCCGTTCCCTGGAGCCCAGTTCTGATAGCACACAGTCTCTCCACTCAACCAGAGCCACATGTTCATGATGCAGTAGTTGTGTAAACCCAACCACACCGCCGCAGTAGACGCCCGTTTAACCACGTTCATCACACGACGCTGCATCTCTTCTGAATGAACCGAGACCAGATCCACATGATTCTGTGTGCAGTATCTCAGAGCTTCAGACCACGTCAGATTCTCTCTGATCACAATCAGTTCAGGATCTGGACACAAAACAAAGTACAAGCAGAAACTAGAGAGAGACTGATCAAAAACAGCATGCAGAACAAACACTGTGGATGAATTTGTCATGTCAGACGTGTAGCGTGAACTTTAAGAGATCTGGAGGTGATGGATGGATTGTGTGTGTTTTGTGAGGATCTACTCACCATCATGACACACAAAAGGAAAATGGTAGGTGCAAGAGAAGTCATGCCATTGTCCCTTAGCTTTCAGTTCGATCACTGCATATTTTTCATCACCTCTGTCTCCATTATCAGGTTGACCAGACTTCCAGTATCTGAATGAAGTGTTACTCTGATCTGACCACTGCCATGAGTCTCTGAACAGACCGATCCAGACAAATGATCCAGATGAGTTATTATCACTAATGATCTTCTTAACCTTTTGATTCTCATCCTGGTTTCTCACACTGACCAGATCAATGTGATTCTGTCTGCAGTATCTCTGAGCGTCTCTCCAATTCATCGTCTGATTGATAAAGACAAGTCCTGTGTTCGCTTTAAGAAAAACAAATGAGAAGTAATTCATGAATCAGTTTGTTCATTATTCTTATGCTACTTTATGGTTTGGATGTGAACAGGAGCAGCGGTGGAAACATCAGAAACACATCACTCAAAGACTTGAGCTGCTTCTACAGCTGGTGATATATTGAATGTTCACAATATTTTCAAGATTTTCAATCTATTGATTTAGTTTTCTTAAATATATCTCTGGAATATCTCAGGTTACGTATGTAACCATGGTTCCCTGAGAAGGGAATGAGACACTGCGTCCTCTAGGGGTCGCTATGGGGAATGCCTTCGGCGTGACCGGTCTCTGAAGCATATAATTAAAAACACGACAGTCTATGACGTCACCACCGGCACGACTACAGTATAAAACGGCGCCGGTAGAACATGTAATACGCTTCTTCGTCTGAAGCTTACGTCCGAAGCATGGCAAGGAGACTAGAGGATGCAGTGTCTCGTTCCCTTCTCAGGGAACCATGGTTACAAATGTAACCTGAGACGTTCCCTTCTGAGGGAACTTTGAACTGCATCCTCTAGGGGTCCCTATGGGGAACGGTATACCCATGCTGCCATGCTGAGGGGAGTGCATGCCAATACCACAGCGAGCACTAAGTACCAACACAACAAGTCAAAGGAGCTGCACCTAGGACATTTGACGGCTGTCAGTGACATAACCCCCTATGGCCAAAGGCCTGAGCTGTGCACCAAACTTACCTGTAAGGGCTGGCTTGTATAAAGCCCGAGCCCAGAGCAAAGCTCAAGCCCCTGGAATCAAAAATAACCAAGGATTCCTTTAAGGGGATAAGGCCGAGTATCAGGGCTGCTTACAAACCCATATCCTGGCCTGTCAAATAGAGACTACCTCCTGCTCTAAGAACGAGCTACCGAGGATTTCAAGATACCCAAGGAAACTTAGTAGTAACACCCTGTCTTGAAAGTGAATATGCGGAGAGTGGGGCCCAAGAACCAAGAACAGAGCCAACTCAGAGAAAGGGGACGAGGCAACAACGCGTCACCCTTACCATAAAGGCTTTAAAAGAAGGTGCACAAAGGCTGGCGTGCACACCTGCCATGAATATAGACTTTAGAAAGTGCACAGAGAACTAGCGTGAGCACTTACCATAGATATGGATTTAGAAATACCGTAATGAACCAACGGTAGAGTGGAGCCCAAGGTAAAAAACCGGTGCCTAAACAACTCATAGAAAGGGAACGAGACTACAACGCGTAACCCTTACCATTCAGGATTTTAGAAAGTGCGCAAAATTCCTAGCGTGCACATTTATCACAATGTGGATTTTAAAAAGTGCACAGAAGCTGAGCGTGTGCACTTACCATAGCATGGATTTAGAAACACCGTTACTAAAGGGTAACCAAGAACCTGTCCACTAGACAGGCCTAGACCCTACGTGACTGTGGCCCGCTCAAGGAGTAACAATAAAAATTCAGTGGGAGGCCACATGCTCAGAGCGCATGTAGATTGAAAAAGGTGCATCTCATAGAAAAACCCTCCATGTGAGGGGAGAATCACCAACTCAACCAAAAAAACAGTCACCTCAAACTGGGAGCAGCATGCTCATAGGTGACCCTCTAAGTGAGGGGAGCACTGCTAAGCTCGACCAAGAAAAAGAGCAGCCTAACAGGCAGGCCGAAGGAGGCCTAACAACCTGAGGCTAAATGGAGCTCCAAGGAGCGGAGGACCCAATGAGAGGAGACCTCAGACGCTCAATTGGGAGCGGCGAGCTCAAATGTAACCCTCTAAGGTGAGGGGAGCACTGCTAAACTCACCAACAAAGAGAGCAGCCTAACAGGGAGGCAGAGAGAGGCCTAACAACCTGAGGCTGCTGCTCAATGGCTCCAAAGAGAACCCATTAACGCATTCATGCATGAAGAGCTACTGCTCCTTGGATCCGAATTACTCAGGAAGGGTTTCCGCAGAAACACATCTCACTTATACCTCAGGGAACGCAGCATACTCAAGCCCACTCCGCAAAGGGGCGATTCACCGGTTCGACCATAAGGGCAGTGTGACAGGGAGGTCCCGCAAGCCCGACCATCTATTCAACTTCAGAGTAGAAAAAGAGTATTAGTCCCTTCAACACCTCAGCGAGAGAAGCCTTTACATGCATGACGGTTGAGAGGATGACTCAAATCTCAGGAGACCCCTCGGGGCGCGACATGAGTAGCGTGTCCTGGCTGGGGCAGCTTCTTGAAGCAAACACCCAGCTAGGACATCAGGGAGCACATCACAAAGCATTATACTCCGATAAATGCTTACTCGAATGGAGAACCCGCGGGTCCTGAAGTTGCAGTGTTATACTGCGGAAAAACTAGTTAGTGAATTAACATAAACTAGCAATAGATAGATAGATGAGATATATCTCGCACCCGTGCAGACTCAAGCTCACGGGGCATCATCTGAAGGCAAAGCCCGAAGAGCCCTTCTGCTTAGTGGCACGGAGAGCAAGATCTGTGGTGCGAAGCAACTCAGCCACCTCATCATAACGATGCCCTCCTATGAGAACAAAAGGAAATTACTGATAGGGAGAAATTTCCCGTCAGGTCCTTTCCCTGTTCTACCCATCAACCGCGAATCGCGGCAATGGGCAGCCAATTCTCACCGCGACCGTGACCGCAACGCGCAGCATGCATTCAGCTCCCGCGGGAGCTAAACACGCTCCATCCAAGCACTAGATTACCTTGGAAATCAAGCGAGAACGACAACCTCTGCCACGAATGCGTCGCTATTCCTGCGAGAGGCGAACGCACTCATGCAAATGCTATCTACAAATTCGGGTAAATGGTGAAGTACTCACCTCCCCCTCAGTAGTCTTGTGAATGCATCACGATGAGCACAAGCTGTCTCCTCGTGAGACGAGCGCGTTCAATTCATGCTTATCCCTCACAAGAAACAAGCAATGAATGCAGAGCGCATCCAACTCCCTCAAGAGCTTAACACGCTTGCTCTTTACCACACACACACACACAGAATGTGAGCTGTTTGAAACTGCGGATATCAGAGCAAAGCCTCTGCCGGGAAAACATGCATTCCTAGGCATGCTTAACATAAACAAACGGTCATAGTGAAGACGAAGAAGAGGATGACGTGTTCTACCTGCGCCCTTTTATACTGTGGTCGCGCCGGTAGTGACGTCATATGCTGTCACCGGCTAATATCATTGTCTTATTTAGATGTATGCTTCAGACACCGGTCACGCCGAAGGCGTTCCCCATAGCGACCCCTAGAGACGCAGTTCGAAGTTCCCTCGGAAGGGAAATTAAGCTCTTCCATGTTTGTTTTGAGTTACTGAAGGCTGAAAATATCAAGTAGTATCAACTCTAGTCACTGCTGTATGTTTATGAATATTATAAGATCTTTACTATCCATATCAATCACTTTCTCACATTCTCTTTTTTTCTCTCGAATATTTTCTCTATAGTCTCTTTAATTGTAGGTTCCCACTGTGACAAATTACCCCATAGTGAGATAACAAAAGATGAATGAAGTATTTTTTTTTTCTGGAAATTTTTGTGTCTATACAGAAATTGACTGAATGTTAAAAGTGTGACAAATATCCACAGTCTCGTGTATATTCATTATCAAATTAAAAATCACTAAAATTTGGTATTTCGTCCGTCTATGAAGGGTTTTTGTAATTTTAAATAGCCACACTCACTGTTGTTGCAGATGAAAGGTCGCCTATCATTACATGGCAAATCATGCCATTCTCCATTTTTCATCACAGCACAATAATCTCTGCCTTTTAGTTGTCCAGTAGCCCAGTTCAGATAGAGCGCAGGTTCACCTGAAGACCACTGCCATTCATCATGCAGCCCAATCCAGACAAACTCAACACGTCCATCATTCACACTCTTCTTCAGCTCGTTCATGTCGTTCATGTTGTCAACTGTGGCCAGATCTGTGTATTTCTCTCTGCAGTATCTCTGAGCTTAAGTCCAGGTCTTGTTCTCATTTATAAAGTGATACTGACGCTGAACACATTCAGATACGGAGCAGAGAGCTGTGAAAGAGAGGCTTTGCTTTAATGCTTTTCATAACAGGATCAAACCCACAGTGCAGGAGTGACGTAAACTCAACCACACCGCCGCAGTAGACGCCCGTTTAACCACGTTCATCACACGACGCTGAATCTCTTCTGAATGAACCGAGACCAGATCCACATGATTCTGTCTGCAGTATCTCAGAGCTTCAGACCACGTCAGATTCTCTCTGATCACAATCAGTTTATCTGGAAACCAAACAAACCACAAGCAGAAACTAGAGAGAGACTGATCAAAAACAGCATGCAGAACAAACACTGTGGATGGATTTGTCATGTCAGACGTGTAGCGGGAACTTTAAGAGATCTGGAGGTGATGTATGGATTGTGTGTGTTTTGTGAGGATCTACTCACCATCATGACACACAAAAGGATATGCATTGGTGCAGGAGATGTCATGCCATTGTCCCAGAGGGTCATGTTTGACTACTGTACAGTTTTCATTATTTTCATTAATGTTAGGTTGAGTAGGATCCCAGTATCTGAATGAGAAGTTACTCTGATCTGACCACTGCCATGAGTCTCTGAACAGACCGATCCAAACATATGATCCAGATTTATTATTATCACTAATGATCTTCTTAACCTTCTCATTCTCATTCTGATTTCTCACACTGACCAGATCAATGTGATTCTGTCTGCAGTAACTCTGAGC